CACCTCCTCCAGCCACACCCTACCTGCCTTTAGTTACCTCCTAGTTATCCCCTATCAGGGAATTAATGCCCTGATTGGCTTAAGGCTCTCATAACCCCATCATTTCACCTCTGAATTTTCTTACATCATCTCACATGAGGGTTTTTTTTGTGTGTGTGTGTGGGGGGGGTGTCATCTCGTACCTAAACCATAACAATAATTTTGCTCAAAATCACCTTCCATTTGTCTTGTCAACGTTCAGAATAATTAAAAAGCCTGTAACCTGTGATTTATATTTGAAGAGTGAGACCCAGGTGAAAAGTGATAAATAGTATAACCTGCAGGGCCAGACACCATCCTCTGTTCACTGAGAGATGGCAGAACCAGTCTTACTACTCTCAATTTATATAAAAAGATTGCAAAGCAGAAAAAGGATAGAAAACTGTTGGGGAGTTCAGCCTTATTGGTGAGCAGTGTCAGGAATGAAGAGATACCTCTTTCGCTTCTCCAGAGTCCAAGGAATAGATCTCAGACAGAACCAGTGGCTTGGTTAGGAGTGCCTACAAGAGGGAGATACCAGGCTCCATTCCTCCTCTGAAACTTGCTGAGTTGTTAGAAATAAAAGCCTATATGGGGGTCACCACTATAAAGGAGCAAATGGAGATGTACTCAAGGGAATTTGAAGTATACATCTAGTCATAAAGGGAATGTAGAAGGTCAGGACTGATCCCTACAGTCCGGCAATTTCTGAGATAAAGAGGAGAACTGTAAGAAAGAGCTGGGGATATAGCTCAGTTGGTAGAGTGCTTGCCTAGCATGCACAGGCCCTGGGTTCAATCCCCAGCACCACATACACACACAAAATAGCAACTTAACAAGGGGTGTGACGCCCTAGAAGGAATATACACATGCAAGGAGGAGAGGCCCTACTCAGAGAGCTGGGTGAAGGAGTGGACCAGTAGAGGGGCCCAAGGAATTGTCTCCCTTCTAAGGAACCGGCAATTTCATCCTGTGGAAAACTCCACACCTTCAATACAGAGGTCAGTGTGCTGGGAGACCCCACCAACCTCAGATGAAATGAGATCAAGCAAGAGGGAAACCACAGTCATTGCACCAATGGACAACTGTGTAGGAAAGACTATCTGTGACACTCATTCCCATTCCCATTCTGACCCACCTGGAGGTATGGCCGAATTGGACCCATCCCATGAGACTGGAGTGTTGGAAAGGGAGAGTGGGGGAGATCCCTAAATCACATCATCTTTTCCTTTTCCTCAAGGTTCCAATAAAACCCAGTAATTATGACAGTACCAAATGCTGCCCTGAGATACCCAGCCTTGGGCACAGACATTGACATCGACTGAGAGGTAAAAACCTTCTGTCTAATTCCAAACCACTCCCCTGGCACGGCTTCAGCACCAGCCACGGCCTTGCACAACCCGAGGATGCTTTCCGCGACTGAGGACTACACGTGGCTGAATTTTGTTTTAATTGAATTAATTCCTCTCACATTACACGAGCTCCAAATTATAGTGACAGTCTTAAACCAATTGTAAATGCAGAATTTGATTAATCTTTAAAAGGGCAGGTTCAACAGCATTGCATGAAGCCAAGAGGTGAAGCAGAAAAATAATTGTGGTGCTCCTATTTATTAAAAGAAATGCTTCCCCAGAATTTCACATTCCTAGTAAATAAAGGTACATTTTCACACCTATTTACACTGTGTAATATGAATCAGGCATTTCCAGGTTTTCTCCACGTTCCTATAAAACTTGGAAAAGGTGTTAGATCTTGGCTCACAGATGCAGACCTTGAATATTTTAATTGGGAATCACACAATCATACATATGCTGTATTAGATTATTTTTCTATGAAATTTCAGTAGCTATGCCAATACTAAAATTCTTCAGATATCTCAGCAAATGTCCAGGTGCTATCATCCCATTTGGTACTCTTTGTAATTTTTCTCTTACATTGTAGAATTCTTGCCATGTCCATATGGAAAATAGATCCAGATGAGAATTTGGGGCCAGGTTAAAAGCTTTAAAATGTTCCATGTATGTATAATGTGTCAAAATACACTCTACTGTCATGTGTATCTAAAAGGAACAAATAATAATTTAAAAAACCCTTAAAACATTTCTCAGTAACATTGAAATTGTGTTGGTGGTTTGAATTCTACTCATTATCTGTTTTACCCCTACTACAATGTGTCATCCTTGCTACATCAGCCATCTCTTATTTAGTGGGGCAAAAAAAAAAAAAAAAAAATATATATATATATATATATATTAAGAATGTTTAGAGCATTGCTAGTGGGACTTCAAATTGGTGCAACCACTCTGAAAAGCAGTATGGAGTTTCCTTAGAAAATTTGGAATGGAATCACAATTTGACCCAGCCATCCCACTCTTTGGTCTATATACAAAGGACTTAAAATCAGCATACTACAGTAACACAGCCACATCAATATTTATAGCAGCTCAGTTCACAATAGCTAAACTGAGGAACCAAACTAGATGCTTTCAATAGATGAATGGATAAAAAAACTGGGAAATATTACACATGGAATATTTCTCAGTATTAAAAGAAACTAAAATTATGGAATTTGCAGGTAAATGGATGAAGTTGGAGAATATCATGCTAAGCAAAAAAAAAAAACACTGAATATTTTCTCTGATAAATGGGTGCTGATCCATAATTCGAGAGCAACATGGGAAAAAATGGAGGAACTTTGATTGGGCAAAAGGGAGGGAGTGGAGGGGAGGGGGTATGGGGGCAGGAAAGATGGTGGAATGAGATGGACATTATTACCCTAGGTACATGTGGGACTGCACATACGGTGCACTGCTACATTGTGTACAACCAGAGAAATGAAAAGTTGTGCTGCAATTGTGTATGATGAATCAAAGTGCATTCTGCTTTCATATACACCTAATTAAAATAAATAAATAAAAATTTAAAAAAAAAGAATATTAGGGCTGGTGATATAGCTTAGTTGGTAGAGTGCTTGCCTAGCATGCAGATGGCCCTGGGTTCAATCCCCAGTACTCCCCCAAAATAAAATTAAAATGTATATATACACACACACACACACACACACACACACACACACACACACATATGTATGTAGTGCAGGACAAAGTCTCTCTAGGACACAGAGGGAAAATGGGATAAAACGGAAAGTGAGCAGTAGAATTCTATGGACATCATTATCCAGAGCACATGTATGAATTGGTGTGAACATACTTTATATACAGAGATATGAACAATTGTGCTCTATATGTGTAATAAGAATTGTAATGCATTCTGCTGTCATGTATTTAAAAAATAAAATCAATTATAAAAAAAAGTCAATGCATTTAGGAATTGCATTCCAATAAGCCTATTACAATCACTCTTGTTATATTTAACACAATAAACAATTTTATTTAAAAAAAAGAATTCTGTTTCCTCTTAGATCTATGAATTATATTCCCTACAACAGGGATTTAATGTTTATTTGTCACATATATTAAAATTTAATGTGTATTTTTCA